TTTTTTTTTTTGTGTATGTGCTAAAGCAAACGCTGCTATGTCGACTTGTGGTTAGTTGCAATTTCAGTCTTATTTTAAATTTTCTACTTTAATTCGTATGTGCGGATTTTGTTTTTTTTTTTTTGTCTAAACGTATACATAAACATCAATTATATAAGATTGCAATGAAGTTTACAGCAGCGCTTCGGCCAAGTGACCACATATAAAATGTTGAAATGAACTTGTGCCGGGCGGCTGAGGCAACAACTGTTGCAACTGCTCTAAAGTTGCCAACGTGCTTGGTTGATCGCAGCTATGTAGCTACAGCTGCAACCAAAAATAAGTAAATAAAATATGATGAAAATGAAAATAAATTCAACAACCTGCAAATTGCTAAGACTCGATCTTTGCCAATTTTTGGCTACCACTTAGGCATTTATGTGCATTACATCGACATACATACATCGCTGATTACGACAGCGGCGGCGCGGCGGTGCGGTGGCTGGCTGGCTGGCTGGCTGGCAATGTTTGCGCATGCGTTTGCTTTGGAAGTGTGCCGATCGTTGCTGCTGTTTTAGAATGCTAGTCGTCGTCGCATTGCGCAAAGATCGTGCTCCCCGCGGCACACATCATTGCCACCACCACCACCACACCACACCACCGACCGACCGACCACCGGGTAGTTTGCCACTGGCGCTGCCACTGCGACTGCGATACGGTTGCATGCCCCAATCAGCATTAGCTGCTACTGGGTTGTTCTTTTTGTTGGCATTGCTGTTGGTTGGTTGGTGGTGGTTGTTGTTTAATCAAAGTGATATTGACTTTAACACCAATTTCCATGTGGATCGCCGCCGCTGTCGCCACAGCCAAATAATTCTACAGCGCAGCTATTATTTGTGTGCTGCTGTGAAATACTGGCAGATGAAAATCTTAGTCAAACCGGAAAATTTAGTCGGTTTCCTTGAACATTTTACCTTCCAAAATAAAAAATATTTACTGCATTTTCAAAGTGGCTTCTTTTTTGTTAGTTGCTTTTGTTGCAATGGCATTTCATTTCATTATTTAGCTGTTGGTATTGGGTAGCCAGCCAGCCGTAGATAGTTTTGTTTGTACTTTGGTATTTACATATTTTATATTTTATATTTGTTTTTTTTTTTGGGTTTTTGGTTTTCTGTACTTACGGTTATTGATTTTAGCTCCTTGTGATATCAGCATGGACAGCGGGGTGGGGCGGCTGGTTAAATTTGGCATACCACCGTGTTCACCTCCGCCTCCACCCCCGCCGTCCGACCGACGATGTGTTCCATGGCCACTGTGGCTGTTGTGACCGTTGTCGCCGGCAGTTTTCACGATGGTGTTGCGACGCCCTCCGCCCGCCAGTCCCAATATGTGATCTCTCGCGCTGCGGCCATATCTGAGGTAGTGTTTTTGTAACCCCATGATTTAGCACTAAAAATTTGCAAATTGAGAAAATTTATTATTCGAATTTTACTACATATTCCAATAAATATTAATATTTTGATTCTCGCCAATAAAAAATTTATCATTTAAATAATAAAACTAAGAAATCTTTGTAAACTATATAAGACCAATCTCAAACGATAATACTTGACACCAGTAACGGTAGTCCCAAAACCTTTTTTGCTTTAAGGCCTGTCTGCAGCTCTCAAGAAAAACCAAAAATTCATATATGTAAGTATGTACATAAAATTACGCGCAAGAAATGGAAAAGAAATTTTCTCCTGTCAAAAAATTTTTTTAATCAGTATGCAGCTCCCAAGAAAAAATGCTAGGATATTTATGCCTTTAAGAAAATTTACAGCAACAACAAAATGCTTTTTCAAGCCACAGAAATAGGGAAACATATTTTTGTCTGATTTTTCTTGGGAACTGCAGACAGGACTTTAGGGTTAAAACTTTCCACCAAAATATTGTTCACAAAAAGGTTCATCTTAATGTTGAAATACAAATAAAATTATAGGCTGCCTTTGACCGGCAGATGGTTTTCGCGGCTGTGTATGCAGTATCAAAAATTCAGTTTGAATAGCAGGTGCCACGCCCATTTTTTCCCTAAGTATAGTAGAATTTCATATATATATATATATATCAAGTTCCCGCAATCTACAAACAACAGTTCCAGCCAGTTAAAGCACTGATTGTGGCTGATGGACTAAGAGAGAGCTATTTTCCTCATTTAATTTTAATTTTATTTTTTTCAAATCACATCTTCATAGATTTTTTCCCGCAAATCTAAATATAAGCGCAATAATTATTTTGCTTTATTGAAAATACAATTTAATTAAGGCCATTTGTTATTCACATTTGCATACGAGTATAAATGCTTACATCTTCTAAATACAAACTTAATAACCAATACAGATAGATCCCTTAACTGAAATGTAGCGCAAGTGGTCAATAAACTATTTGATAGTCACGATCTAAGCCAGAATGTCGCACAAATGGTTAGAGTTTTTAATATCTTATTCAAATTCATTTGACATTTGCAATTAATTTTAAGTAGTTATATTGTAATTAATTGTGAAATGTGGGAGAATGCAGCAAGAAAACAAAACACAGTGACCAACACAGACGGCTGCAATTAAAGTTGTGAAGCGATTTTATCGGGCACTAAGGGGAGTGCATAATGACTCGCGCGTCATCGGTATTAACTGGCTAAGATGAATTGAAGTTTTTATGCCTTAGGGCCGTTTTCTCAAGTGACCTGTAACTTTAAAGCTCACTTTATATTTAAAAGTTGCATAAAATTTATGATTGTGTCTAAAGTAAAGCATTTTATTATCGGTTTTAAATTGGTTTACAACCAAGAAACATACATACGTCAAAAACCGATAATAGAAAAGCTTAACTTCGGACAAAGCTTTATTTTTAATCCAATCTTTAAATTTAAAGTGAGCGCTAAAGTTAAAGGTTACTTCAGAAAACGGCCCTAAGAAAAGTATAATACATATACAGTATTGGCCATATTTATAGCACCCCCATTTTAAAGTGGTATTGTTTGCCACTTATATGTAGTTATTAATTTTTAAGAATTTTCAATTAAAATACAGTTCATTCTCTAACAAAACGCATATAAACCCAAGTTTTAAACTTTGTAAAAGACTACAAAAAATGCATCAAATCCTCATCTAAATTTCAAACATTTTTCTCAGAAGTGCTAGAATTTTTTTGAGTACCTACGCAGTTTTATAGCCCATTCAATTTTAGTATAAGAATGTGCAAGTTTCAAGTGGGTAAAAATTACCGTCGATTTTTCGGATTTTTTTTTTTGTCGCGTTTGCTTGCATTTAACGAATAAACACAATTTATTTTTATATGGAAAAAATCAACAGTGATTTTTAGCCACTTGAAACTTGCATATTGTTAGACTAAAATTAAATGGGCTATAAAACTGCGTACTCAAAAAAAATTGTAACACTTTTGATAAAAAAGTTTGAAATTTAGGTGAAAATTTGTTGAATTTTTTTATAGTATTTTACAAAGTTTAAACTTCGATTTGCATGGGCTTTGTTAGAGAATAAACTGTGTTTTAATTGAAAATTCCTAAAACTAAATAAATAAACATGAGTGGGAAACAATATAACTTTGAAATGGGGGTGCTATAGATATGGCCAATACTGTAAGTCTGGTATAGTTCGATTCGGTTGCTCAACGGTATAAATTTACTGAAACGGTTTGGGCTTTACAAAATGCAGCACGGCCATGACAATATATATGTACTTACACATTTCGTTCTTATATTTCTAGAAAAGTCTATTGTCGTTTATACATATACACCTGCACATGCACAATGTAAATAAACAAGCATATATTTTGGTCAAAATTTTCCTAAACTCAAACTGTTCAGAGCGCAAGTACACACTTATTATTATTATTATTACTATCCACATACTAGATACAAAGAAATTTAAAACGCGAACAATTTCATTTACTCAACGATTGGTGAGTGTTTTCCTAATTATGTTGACATTGTCTTTTATTTTGTTTTTTTCGTTAACAGTTCAAGTTCAACTGCCTCGGTTCAAGTTAGTATGTATGCTGGCAGCAGAAAAAAGTCAAATTGGCGAAAATGCGTTAAAGTTGTCGTTGTGCGATAGAAGGTTCTATGGAATAAATAAAAACAAAACAAAAACAAAAAATAATTTGCAGTTTATTAAATTTTGTTTACCTGTTTTTATTTAGTTTGAGGTGTAAGCGTAATATGATAACGGTGACAGTTAAGTGAAGAACAATCACTCACATAGCGCACCCATATTTTTAAATGTTGTATGTTTCACGCATTCGTTGAGGCAAAAATCAGCAACTGTACCTATTTAAGACTTGGAAATGTTGAACATCTTCAAAGGTGATAATAATAATAATATTTCTTAGCCTACAGCTTCCAGAAATTGCTGAAGAAACCGTTATATGTAAATAGTACTAAGTTAACGGTGCTTCTAATGCGATCATATCCTAGTTTAAGCTCTTTATAGTAAATCTTCTACGAAGCAATCTGCAATAACTTAGACTTAATGACGCAAGACCGGGTGACAAAATATAACTACTGAGTTAAAAGATTCAAGTGTTTCTATCATAATACTGCTGAAATGATGTTGCTTTCAGCTTGAATACACACAAATTTTCAATTGAATTAACGTACATATTTCGCGTGCTCAATATATACATATCAGAGATCTAGACGTTTATGTCTTTACAATGCCACAGAATAGTAAGCCAGCGGTACTATTGCTGAGGGCATTCTAGTTGAGTTCCCAGTGCTTGGCTTCAAAACAGACACGTGGTGGTCAGGATCTGGAATCGATATTAAATATTACGGGGATGACCTTCACTTTTCGCTTGGCGATCACGCCTAGGAGTTTCAAGCGCAGGTATTTGCAAACTTCAAGGTCATGGACTAAGTGATGGAATATAGTTGGAGAGGCAAGAGTCTACGTCTCTGTAGTGACAGCCGAACTGAACCCAAGGAATTCGCCTGCTCTCTAACTACCTTCAAACTAGTTCGGCAATGGAAGTCTCGACTTATTATGTTGGAAATAATAACGAACTGGTCTTAGATACTGTGGGAACCAAGCCACGCGGAATTACCTGGTAACGAAACATCCGACCATTTGGCTATCGACTCGCAACTTCTACCATCGAGGCCACCATCAGAAACTGGGTGCAGGTGGGTAAAACTCATGTTGCTCTCACTCTCAGAAGGCCTACCTAGGTATTTTCTTACAATTGGCAGATGGGATTACATTCAACTTAAGGTATTGCTTACTCGTCAATTCTCGTGGCACAAACATTTGACTGTGGTCGGCATACACATGGCGGCACCACATTTGCCCTTCCTGCCTTAAAGAGGCTTATTAGGCAAAGAGAAAATGGAAGGACTATGATTTGTCCTTAATTTACGATTGTTTAAAAGGCATCAGTGTTAATTCGAACTTTCGAACGTTTAATTTAGAGGACTTCAATTTATTATTGAAAACAGATTTCAGTGGTATCTTTAGAATTAATACAGTGACACATTTATTCTTGCTCTTTTTCACAATGGCGAAACCCCCTGGGGGACCCCGTTTCGTGTGATTTCTTTAATCTTATGTTGGAGAAGATAATAAGAGCCGCAGAACTGAACCGCTCAGGCACAATGCTTTATAATAGCGTACAATTGCTGGCGTATGCCGACGACATCGATATTATCGGTAAAAACAAGGTAAAAACGTCTGTTCTGCCTTCTCGGGATTGGATAGAGAAGCAAAGCGAATGGGTCTGGTGGTGAACGAGGACAAAACGAAGTATCTCCTGTCAGCACACAAACAGTCAGAGCATACGCGTCTTGGCACCCACGTCACTGTTGACAGTTACAAGTTTGAAAAAGTAGACGACTTCGTTGGGGAATAATAATGTCAGCCTTGAAATCCAACGGAGAATCACTCTTGCCAACAAGTGCTACTTTGGGCTGAGTAGGCAATTGAGAAGTAAAGTCCTCTCTCGCCGTACAAAGATCACACTCTATAAGTCACTCATCATGCCTGTGCTGGTGTATGGCGCGGAAGCATGGACAATGAAAGCATCTGATGAGGCGGCTCTTGGAGTTTTCGAGAGAAAGATTCTGCGAAAGATTTACGGACCTTTACGCGTTGGTGATGGCGAATATCGCAGACGATTTAACGATGAGCTGTATGAGCTTTACAACGATATAGACATAGTGCAGCGAATTAAAATTCAGCGGCTCCGCTGGCTTGGCCATATCGTTCGGATGGACAGAAACGCTCCTGCTCTGAAAATATTCAACGCGGGCCGCGATGCTGGGAACAGAGGAAGAGGAAGGCCTCCTCTGCGTTGGAAAGACCAGGTGGAGAAGGACTTGGCTTCACTTGGCATTTTCAATTGGCGTGCTGTTTTGGACTCGGCCAAAATCGCTTAGGCGGTTACAGCGCCAAATA